CTCCCAAAAAATGTGTGTAGCAACTTGGCTAGGTCCTGATTCCCAGCATTGTATGATTGTGTTATCTGATGTGATTTCCTTATGTGTTGCAAACTCTACCACTACGATGAGATTATATGTGATCTCCTCATGTGCTATAAATTCTATCACTGTGATGAGGTTATACTGACGAGGTTGACAAGATTAGTGTCTTAATGCAATCTCTTTTGAGATATAGAAGAGAGAAGTGAGCAGAGATACATGGGAACCTCACACCACCAAGAAAGCAGTGCTGGGAGCAGAGCGGGTCCTTTGGACCTGAGGTTCCTGCGCTGAGATGCTCCCAGACCAGGGAAAGACTGAGGCATCACAAGGACCTTTCTCCAGAGCTGACAGAGAGAGAAAGCCTTTTCCTGGAGCTGATGCCCTGAATTTGGACTTGTAGCCTACTGGACTGTGAGAGAATAAATTTCTCTCTGTTAAATCCATCCACTTGTGGTACTTCTGTTAGAGCAGCACTAGATGACTGAGACAGTTGGAATCGACTCGATGGCAACAGGTTTATTTTGGAGCCCTGTTGGCTCAGTAATCAAGAGCTATGGCTGCTAACCAAAAGGTTGGCAGTTCGAATCCACCAGCCACTCCTTGGTAACCCTATGGGGCAGTTCTTCACTGTCCTGTCAGGTCACTATGAGTCGGAATCGACTAGACGGCAACAGGTTTGGTTTGACTTTTTTGGCTTGATGTTTCCACCCTCTCCTACACAATAGCCATGGTTAGTGTTTCGCTGTGTGTTCGCACAGTCTGCTTTCTTCACGTGTGTGTACGTGTGCACACATGTGTCTGATTTTGCGTAAGTGTGTAGCCATGCTGTGTGTGATATGTTGTGATCGATTCATTCACTTAGTGATATATTGTGAACATTTATCCACATCTGCAAACGTACACCTTGTTAAGGATTGAATGGTGTTCCCCAAAAGAAATGATGAAGTCCTAACCCCTGTACCTGTGAATGTGACCTTGTTTGGATATAGGGTCTTTGAAGATCTTATCAGTTAACAGGAGGTCACACTGGAGGAGGGTGGGTCCTGATCCCATCTGAGTGATGTCCTTATAAAAGGGAAGAGACACAGACAAAAGACACAGAGGGAAGACGCCGTGTGAACACAGAGGCAGAGACTGGAGTGATGCGGCCACAGGCCAAGGAATGCCTGGGGCCACCAGAAGCTGGAAGAGACAAGGAACGATCCTCTCCTAGAATGGGCAGAGAGAGCACGGCCCTGCCAACACCTTGATTTTGGACTCTCAGCCTCCAGAACTGAGAGAGAATACATTTATGTTGTTTTAAGCTGCCTACTTTGTGGTACTTTGTTACGGCAGCCTCAGGAATAACACGCACCTGTACTATCACAGGGAGGAAATAACACACAACTGTACTATCAAAAGAAGGCTGAGAAGAACTTGCATGAAGCTCATTCTTTCGCCATTAAATTAGCATCAGGCACAATGAGTGGTAATTGCAAGACCATCATTTCTACAAGTACAAAATTGTATGTGTCTGCAGCCCATCCCCTTGTGGGTCACGGAAAACCACGAAGCATGGAGCTCTGAGCCGGAAAAACTTGCAACAGTGCTGCTCATGTGCAGGGGCCTCCAGCCCTCTGCATGGTCTCCTGCTGTCCCTCACACCAGCTGTCTCCCTCACCCTCTGTCTCCTTCACATGGTCTGTCTCCCTCACTCTCTGTCTCCCTCACACGGTCTGTCTCTTTCACACTGTCAGTCCTTCACCCTCTGTCTCC